ATAATTACATATTAAGTTTGCAAGTTAAGTCTAATTAAGTTTTCAATATTTAAATCTTTTGAAGTTTATACTTTATAAGTTTTCAATATTTATTATTCATTGATATTTATAATTTATAAGTTATATTTATAACTTGTATCTTGTAATCTTTTGAAGTTTATACTTTATAAGTTATTACTTATCATTCATTAACATTTATAAATTATAAATCCTATTTGTAACTTGTGTCTTGTAATATTTTGAAGTTTATACTTTATAAGTTATTATTTATTATTCATTAATATTTATAATTTATAAGTTATATTTATAACTTGTGTCTTGTAATATAAATAAATTAATTTTGTAATTTTTAAAAAAAAGTAAATAAAAATAAGAATAAAACAATTACACAAATTAAAAAATATTGATTTAATTAATTTAAATTTGTAACAAATTACAATTTCAATTTACAACTATTAGTAGAGTGCATAGTTTACGCAGCCACCATCTAGGAATGGTTCAGTTTCAACTAAGTCTTGAATGTAATACTAATAGTTGTATAGTCCCATAAATCCTCTTTCTAACTGAGCTATAGATTGACTATAATCAACTTTTGGTCTTGGTAAAGCTTGTTGACGATCTTGAAGTTCGATGCCATCATCACTACCACATCCAATGGTTGAATCTGTGAAAAGTTCAAATTGACTATCTAACTTTGGAAGTCCTTGATTTCTCTACTAAGCATTTATTCAATCTCTAAATAACACTGATATCTCCAAGCTGTTTTCTGCTAACGAATATATGTGGTCTCCAATTTGAAATCTTGCCGCAATAAAAGCTGCCTCCGAAGCTACTAATGATCCTTGAATTGCAAGCACATCCTTCACCATCCTACTAAGATTTGGAAATTGAGTTCCACGAGCTCTCCACCAGTTCAATAGTTGTGGTATACCTTTATCATTTGTAATTCATCCGAACCCTGTTCAAGATATTTAACAAATTCACATTTATTACAAGAGTCAAAACCAAGTTTATGTTTCATTCGTCCATGAGCACCTACTTGACGCATAGACGTTTGAGGAATTTCAACATTATCTAAGGAAGAATATTTATCATACATTTCTTTAGCAAGTAATTTTATACTATTTTGACATGTTACCAAATCAGGTTCTTCTTTAGGTTTATTCTCTAAATTTTGATAAATGCATTCAACTAAAGCTTTTGCACCATATTCTTTATATTTGGGATTTAAAAGAGTTGCAGTTAAATAAATTTGAGGGATAGGAAAAAAATATTTCTTAAATTTTGTAATCATAACTTTAATAGCAGTGGTAAATAAATTATTTGTTTTATATTCAGAAAAGATAGATGAATCTTACATATGTGTATTAAAATTTCAGAAATAGTAGGATAATATATTCCAGAAAATTTTTTAGTAGCAACATAAAATGATTTCAAAAATATTCTAAGTTCATTTACTTCATTCTAGTCACTATTATTAAGTTTAAATTCAGGATAAGCATTATAATTATTAAATAGTGTAGTAATAGGCTGTCTATATGCATAAGCAACTTCAAACATATCATAAAAAGGAATTTCATCTAGTTTTTACATGCTTCAGAACTTTTCTAAATGAAAGTTCAAATGCATTACAAAGCTCTTTAAATTGATTAATTCTACTACTACTATTCATATGAAAAAAATATAAAAACAAGCATTATCAATTTTATCACAATTATTTTCAAATAATTTCACATCGTCACTAACAACCAAATTTAATATATGCTCAGCACATCTAACATGAAAAACATAATTACTAATTGGACAAATTCTAGGTTCTAGCATAACAACATTTAAATTAGAAGAAGCATTATCTAAATTAATATTAATGACTTTATCACAAAGAGCGAAAAAAACTAAAATTTCCAACACAGTAGTAACAATATACATTTCAATTTTTTCTTTTGACAAATTTTATAACCAATCATTCTTTTTTGTAAATTTCAATTATAATCAATCCAATGCGCAGTAACGGTTAAATAATCAAAATCATTAGAACTAAGACCCATATCAGTAGTAATAGCAACTCTATAATCCATTAGTTCAAAATAGGCACGTAAATATTGACAATATTTTTCTTGAAATTCAAAAATATCTCTTTTTACCATGCTTCTTGATAAACCTTTAAAACTAGGATTACATGTTTCAGGAATATATGCAATAAAATCCGGATGTTCTCCAAAACTAAAAGGTAAACCACAAACAATAACTTCGCAAAATTTTCACGATCACGATCCTTGTTATAGGTTTGATGTGTAAGAAGACCACTTGATTTTGAAGTATTTAATTCACCTTGAATCATATTTGATCCTCTAGTCGATGCTTCACATTAGAATTTTCACTAACTTCAAGAGAAGACATATATGCAAACCACTCTTTACTATGCTTGTTAATCAAATGTTTTTTTAGTCCCCCACTCGCACTAGATGTATATTTAAAACGTTGTTTACAAATCTTACATATACTACAAGTTTTTTCTTCGTTCAAATAACAAAATTTCCACACATGTAATTTTTAAAGAACGTTGTACCTTGGTCTTACCTCTAGTTAGAATAATAGGGGGACGAGTAGTTCCAACCGGAGGTGGAACTTCATTACCAGTACTATTGAGGTCGCGACTAGTCGGTGGTGTATCATCTAAATCTATTTCTTCATCTTAATTAATTCTTCATTAATTTCCGCTTCTTCATTTTCTTGATTAATACCATAATGTCTTTCATAAAGTCCATGGGGAATTATAGGAGTATCCGAATTAATATCTATAGGGCCGGGCCTGGAAAAATTAGTTTCATTCACAAGCGTAAATTCATCTGTATTCATTCTAACAAGAGGAAATTTAGATTTAGAAAAACTAGCACTTTTATTTTTTTAACAAAATTTTTTACTCATTCTACTAGACTCTTTTTACTTCCATTTTTTTTAAAAGACTCCATGATACACAATTATAAATTAGAAAATATGAAACTTAACAAGAACAAATAATATAATAAGAACTTACAACTTACAAATAATAAATATAAAAAATAAATATAAGATTAGAGAGTGGAACGAAGTTACCAAACATTTGTGTAAGAACAAAAGATTATAAGAAAAATTAAAATATTGATATCGAAACTTGAAATTTGAAGAAGATTCCTTCTCCAAAATACATCAAATCACCAAATGATATTAACAATTTAGAACTTGAATATTAAAAGTCTGAAATTTTGAGAAAGATAATTCGTAATCGTTAAAATTTAAAAACTTGGATGGAAATATATATCCTCAAACTTATGTATGCATAAATAGTTTTTAGAAATTGTTTATCAATTGTGAATGAAAGAATAAAGCCGTTTGAATTGCTTGACTGCTTAAGAAAAATGATCGTTGGCCAATGGTCGACCATATTCCCCTAGTTATTATTTTGGGGGGATTGGCCATTGAAATTTGGAGTCTAGAAAATAGGGGGATATGGGTTTATGAGGATGGCCGGATGGGAATCGAGAAATTGGGAGAATGGGAGTTGGGAGTTGGGATGCTTTTAATTAAAGTTGCGTGGGGAAGGAGAGTGCAGGCATGAAACTTTTAATTAAAGTTGCAGAGTGCAGGAGAAGGGCATGGGCCTAGGGCTGTAGGGGCGGGTAGTTGGGTTTTATATTTTATATTAATTATTTTTTAATATAAAATATAAAATATAATTTATAAATATATAATATAAATTAATTAATAAATATTAATTAATCGGAACCGAACAGCAACCGAAATGAACTGGATAAACCTCGATTTCGTTCCGTTTCATGTACCAGTTCAAAATATCTTATTCCGTTCCGTAGGCAATTAAATCGGGATGAACCGGAACAGTACAGATATGTCTCGTCTCGTTGCCCAGCCTTACTCATACTACATTTATATATCTTTACTAGCCACCGTCTATGAGTGTAAAATCTAGCATGGCTAACGCAGTTCGAATTGTGCTGAGTTCTTGACATCCGAAGACTTGTTGTTGTTTCTTCTTTTTGATCTTTCTATATATTGTATTCTTTATTAGATAGACTTGTATATATAACCTTTATGTATTTAGTAGCTCTTGTACCTATGACACTCGCGGGTCCACACGTTTGTTTGTGTGTTACTTTGTCGTTCTTTGTCACTTTCAGGCCTCTTTAGTTTATTGTTTATTATATATTTACAGTTATATACTATGTCCATATTATGTATCCTTATTCGTGTTTTCGCTTGTTCGTAATAATATTATCAAATAGTAATATTTCGTAAGTTAGTTTTGAATTTTTGTCTTGCCTACTCAGGGGTGGGGTAGGAACTCTCAGAATATGATTTGAGATCGTGAAAGTTTTGTTGCTTCTGCTTCATTAAGCATGTGTCTCTTTTATTTTCAATGTGTTTCTATGGTCTTCACCATAAGTTTTGACCAGTATATATATTATGATCTCATGCTCTATGACATTAGAGTTTACAAGTTCAACATATCTGAACTTGCAAAGAAAAAAATGCAACTACATTCTTAGATAAATAGCATGATTATTTGATAATTTTTTGTTGAATATAATTAGGAATGAATATTAACATTTACCAACAAAAAAAGTTTGTGTTAGTTTATGTATCCTTTCTATAGTGAGTTTAGAGGTTACCAGTTCAAAATGATAATTCTTTAAGTCTACAAGATTAAATCACAATTTCATATATTTGACTTAGAATCATAAAATTTAAAAAATTACTTAATTTTTTTAATGTTTGTGCGTCTAACTGGTTCATTTTTTGTAAAACGAGGAATTATTACTTTTGTTTCAATGTGTATGCGTTGCTTGCCATTTTAGAATAGGTGAAGGATATGTTAGTCATTAAAACTAATGCTTCATGATACGTGTCTTTTTGGCCTAAACGGAAATTTCCTTCTCTCTTCATCTATTCTGTCACCTTCTTCGATCATCCCAGAGTCTTACTATCTTCAGTAAGTATTGTAACATTTTTTTTCTATGCTTCATATGTTGTTCTGGTTTATTTATTGCTCATTGTTGGTAGTACTTGGTATTAATTGCCATGATTTCTCTATATTTTTATTATAGGGGGATTAAGATTGATGCCCTAAATTCTACCATACTTGGTGTTCTTTGCTCACGAGGTTCAATCTAGAAAAATAGATATTTTACTTTTTGAAATTTTATTTTTCCTTAGACATAGGGTTTTGTTGCTTCTGCATCATTAAGCAGGTGGGTCTTTTGCTTTCAATGTCCTTTTATCATCTTTATCATAATTTTTCCCCATTATATGGATTATGAGAGTGATCAGATCTTGCAAAGAAAAAATTGGTGACTTAAAGGTTTACAGGTTCAAAATTGCTATCATTTTGTCTTATGGTTAAAAGGGACAAATGTTTCCAACAATTGCCAGTTAAATAAGTAAAAAGAATGGCACCTTCAAGTATAATTGAAGAAGAAATAGACGAAGCAATTATAAAACAAAACATGTAAAAATCAATCACTACAAGAAAATGTAATCAATTACTAAAGAAATGCTTAAAGCTTGTGGGATATTACTTCTTGTTCATTAATATATAGATACCTGGAGTAGGATTTAATATCAATGCTTTAAATATTATATGAGAGACATTTATATATAGGTACTTGAGTCTTCTGTTTGTAAATTACTTTTCTCGACGAGATTTTGTAAGGAATGAATCGTTAGATTGGGCTGATGTTCTCAAAGGATGGTGCTTTTAGCTATTGTGATATTATGTTAGCTCTTCTATTCATTATGTTTAGAATCACATTTAGCTTCTACGATATTATGTTAGCTGTTCGATTGATTACAATTCAGAACTGCTTTTAGCTATTGCGGTATTTGGTTAGCGCTTCTATTCATTAGTTTGCGATAACTATAAATTGAACGCAATACTTTTAGCTTCTAAGATGTGACCTGCAATTGCAAAGTTACTACCCATTTTTGTTTTCTTTCCCCTCAGCTTCAAAATCTATTGTTCAACTCCAAATTTAAAGACATGTATACAACCTAGGAGAATAGGAAGCAAACTTATTAGTTTGATGAGCCAAAGGGATTAAAATACCCTTATTTTTCAATTTAATGACAAAGAGCAGACATACTAAATTATTTAAATGTGTTCTGTGGCTTTATCTTCAACCTCCTTCATCTCTGTAATTGGTCTGTGTATTTTTTTCCCATACAAATGCTACTATATCTACTCAACATTTTTTATCTTATATTTTTCTAATGCTAACTTCGTGCCTTGTTTACCTCATGTAACAGGGACCAATGTTCTTGTCGAAGATAAAACGAAAAGACACCCTAACTAACCTTCAGCTTAATAAATTGTTGTTAATATCTAAATAGAATGTACATAGCTATCTAGTAACTCTCTGAATCCAAATTTAAACACATTGTTTATTTTTCACTAACTTTAGTATTATTGTTTTTCAAATAAACACACCTCTAGTATTATTCATATGAGCATAACTCTTTACTTTCTCCTTGCAGTCTATAGTATAGTTCGTATACTAACAACACCTTTTGCATTTTAGTGCAAGAATTGCAGTGAAGGTCAAAATAGTGGAGAAAGCTTGAAATGAAAAATCCTTTGCTCACACCCTATAAAATGGGTAACTTTCAACTTTCTCATAGGTACTTTAGACTTTCTTGTTTAAAAATAGTTCCATATAGAATATAATTTTGGTGTTGTCTGGAATATTGATTGTTTGATAATGCACTTCTTCTGGTTGAAATGGATGGATTTGATTAGAGGAATCTTGAATTTTTAACTTCATAAAAAATTAAGAATATCTTTTTGGATTGTTGGCCATTTATATGAATTTCCTCGTGTGAACTTCATAAATCACATGAGATTGCATTGCAAAACAAATGGCATACATGAAAGCTTGTTCTCTTCAAGGTATTCCCATAATTAACGACTCAAGCTTTGGGTCAATATAAACACAAGGAAATTGATAACCTACTCAATCTTCAAAGTATTAATATTAGGGGAAACAATACAAATCTCACTAATTTAGGTCGTGATTACGTGCCTTCTCGTAAATTTTATAATGATTATTCTTGCAAGATTTTTGTCTTTAGATACATGTATGTCAGGCATTTAGATAGATGTATCCGTCATACATGAGTAAAAATTAGGTGTAATTTTGTTAGCATGATGGATAACCAAATGATGGTATATATTAGTGTAATTGTATAGTGATATAAATTAGCGTGATCATATACATTTGTTGCAGAATCAAAGAAATAAATATTGTGATAGAATAGCTCATTTGGAAAGATAGCAAGGCGGATTTAGAGGGATTGAATAGCAAATTTGTAGGGATAGAATAGTTGATCTTTAGGGATAGGAATGACAGATCTTTAGGAATGTGTAATATTCATTCTCTATATAATGGAAAGACTCTCACTTTGAGAGACATTCAGTAGAAAATTGACAAATTGACTTCAGATACACTGTATCCAAGTGGATTTACATGTATTTAGGATAGTGACTCTCTCACTAACATCTTTCCTATTTTGCTTGGCTATCCCTCTCGCACTTGTGTCTCTCCTTATAGATTTGTATGTCAGAATGTATCTGCAATATGTATGGTATTTCAAATACATATATCTAGTGTGATTTGTAACTCTCTTGCTCGTCTCTCTCCTATGTCAGTCACCTCGCTATATATGTATATGTAATTTAGAATACATGTGGAATGTATATGGCATCTCAAATACATGTATCTAGTGTCATTCACATGTATATTCGCTCCCTCGCCTCCCTCTTATTTTGTTTGCCTCTCTCCTCTATCGCACACCTCTCTCCCTCTCTCGCTCCCCTCTCTCCCTCTCGCTCCCCTCCCTCCCTTTGTGACTATAATTCAGATAGTATCTAGTAGAAAATCCATGTATCTAGGTATATCTAACTTGAAATATTGTATGGAATTATTAATAGTAAGACAATATGTAATTATTTTAATCTAAGGAAGAATTAGTAAATAGGATAGTCATTTTGCATAATTAGCAGTTTTATTAAAAGTATTTTTTTTGTGAACAATTTTGTTACCACTTTGTCCACAACTATCAGCCACTACTATTAACCACCTCTGCCATCATAACTACCACTACCAGTTTCAACTACCACTTCCAGTTTCAACTATGACCACCATCTCCTTGTCATTGTAATCACCATCATTGTCAACCATTATTGTCAGTCGTGGTCTATCACACCTGCCACTTAAACCATTATAGTCTTAACCACCATCATTATCACTTCTACCACTTCTATCATTATGATTATATTCAGAATAACCACCATCATAATCACCGCAACCGTTACCAACGATTACCATCACCACAACCAATTCCTACTTTTAACATCACCACTAGCATCGTTATCAGTATTCCACCAACATCAGTATCATGTACCACACATTTTTCAGTTACCACCACTAACCACTAACATCTAAAGAGAGTGAGTATCAAAGAAAACAAGAATGATCTTATTCAATCCTAACATCAACTTAAATACAAGTAATATGCAACTAACTTGACTAATTCTAAGGACATACTCTAACAACTTAATATGTAACTAACTTGACTAAATCTAAGGAACTACTTTAAAAACTTATTCTAGTCATGTGAAAAAGATTGAATCAAACGATTTGAACTAAATTTACTCTTAACAATCTGATAACTATGAGTATCTAAACATAACCCCTCTAGTTCGGTGTTGTGCAACAATGCCTAACTTTGATAAAAACCAAAGAAAGGTAGGCTTGGGCATCAACTTTATGAGATTGTCTGCAATTTGGTCCACAGCGGGAAGATATTTGACAACCACTCTTCCTTATTGCACATTGTTGTGGAGGTAATGAAAGTCTACTGCAATGTGCTTCATTTTTGTGTGGACGATTGGGTTTTTTCCGAGTTATGACACACCAATGTTATCACAAAAAATGCTTGGCATTTGTGAGACTTTGTATCATAGCTCATTCAATAGGTTTTGGGCCCTTAGAATCTCAAAGAGTGCATTGGTTATCGGTTTGTATTCTGCTTGAGTGGAAGACCGAGCAACTGGTTGTTACTTCCTAGAGAACCAATAGATAGGATTTGGTTCCTAGAAGAGTATATAGTTAGATGTGGAGATTATGTCACATGGATCGCCCGCCCAATCTACATTGGCATACATATAGATTTCTATCAGAGTGACGAGATTTTTAAACACGATGTTGCTGATGAGTTGGAACCCTTCCAGTGCTCCAGGCTCGGGGATTGCATATATTGAGATAATTCTGTTAACTACAAATGCAATATCAAGACGCGTGAATTCTAAGTATTGCAACTTACCCAAAGTGCGTTGATAAGAGGTTGCACTGGTAGGATGTGAACCATCACCTACTCTGGGTTGTGAACTTGAGCACATGCGTGTCACAACCCCTTTATAGTCTTCCATATCAACATCTAAGAGAATCTTAAGTATATATCTGGACTATGATAAGGCAATCCCATACTTAATATGTTTTAACTTCGATCCCAAAATATAGTCGAGTTCACCAAGGTTCTTTTGGAGAGAACCTGCAAGGCAAAAAGTCAATTATATGTGTGACAAGGGTTGGATAATTCCGAGTAATGAGTATATCATCAACATACACCAGAATATACATAGTGACAGTCTCAAATGTGAAAATAAATAGAGAGGAGAGCCTCATACTAGGCACTTGGAGCTTGTTTTAGGCCATGAATGGCCTTTTGAGACGGCATACATGATTGGAAAAATCAGATTTAGCATAACATTTCGATTGAGCCATGAATACTTGATATTGTAAGTTTCCTGGCAAAACTGCATTATTCACGTCAAGCTGGTGAACCTTCCACTTGTTTTGAATTGTGAGAAATTGAACTATCACGATTGAGGTTGGCTTGACAATGAGACTAAATGTTTCATGAAAGTACAATCCTGGACATTGTCGGAAGCCTTTTGCTACTAACCGTGCCTTATACCTGTCAATGGAACCATCAACTTTCCTTTAGTTTGAAACAACCACTTACAATCAACAACATTGTTCATTGGGTCCCTAGCTGCTACTTCCCAAGTTTGGTTTCTCATTAGGGCTTCGTATTCCAGATCCATGGCATTCTTCCATTCAATTTGCTTAACTACTTGGTTTAAGGTATTTGGTGGGAGAGAAAGGTGAGCCAAGAAGCAGAACTGTTTTTCGATTTGAAGATATTATTTTTGGACCTTGTGACAACACTGGAGGGTGGAGGGGCATTGGCAGTCAGACATTTGAGGATTTGGTGGCTACTAGATCAATATTGGTGGGGAAGGACTAGAATCGGGTGATGGGGGAGAGGTGGTGTGGGAGGGATTATTAAATAGTGAAGGAGATAGAGAAGTGATAGTAAAATATACTTGATAAAGTGGGGGATGCTGGTAGTTGCCATTCAATTATGGACTCTTGAGTATTACGAGATAAATGCGAATCTGTTGAAGTATTAGGAGGAGGAGAAACTGTTGGGGGCATAGGAATAGGCGGCGGAAGAGTTGGAATGAGAGTTCAAGTTGTGTTGGACTTCTGGATGAGTTCCCTTACAGACCCGAGACTCCATGAAATCCCATTTTAACATGAAATATTTATTTTTCCAGTGTGAGAAATTTGAGTAAAAAGAAAAATATTTCACAAAATTGAACATCACAACTAACGAATATTTTTGAGTTCATTGGATCAAAATAGAGGTTTGCATGATGACAACGATAACTCCTAAGTAAACACATGGCGTAGATCAAGGCTGAAACTTATTGTCTGTATATGGTTTAAGCCATGGATAAAAAACACAATAAAAAAAATAAGCGAAGAGTATTTTGGCGGTTCTCCAAATAATTTTTAATAAGGAAAATTATTATGCAGGCCATGTGCAGGATGTCCGTAAGTGACCATAATTCAAATGGTAGTATGGGTTCATTGAGATGAATTCTAGCCATTTCGACAATGTAACGGTGTCGGATTCAACTATGGTAACTCGTTGGGGGTGTCTATGGTGGGAAAATTAAGTTCTCAATGCCATTGAGTTGTAGGTAGTATTTAAGACATGTATATTCACCCCCTCCATCAATATAAACTGAGGCGATTTTGTGTTTAAAAACTTTTTACACCAAAGGATGAAATTGCGCAAAAATGGAAGCAACTTCACTTTTGTTTTTGATTGTATACAACCAAATATTTGGTGTTATAACCAACAAAAATGTAGTAATAGAACTTTTTATCAATGGATAAAATGAGTGATGGACCCCATAAATCAGTAAACAAACTTTGAAATGGTGCATTACTATTTAAAGTGAGTCATTGGAATGGAAAACAATGAGCTTTATTGATTAACAAGAATTACAAAACTCAAACTTTTCTTTAGTGAAAACGGGAAGTGAAAATTTATTCAGTATTAAGTCCAGAATTTTCATATAAGGATGACCCACACGATGGTGACATTGTTGACTAGAGACTTTGGTGGAGTTGAAGTTGGTGGAAGGTGACATGTGATCCTTGCGGGGGCCACTCATAGAGTCCATTTTTTTCCAGCCTTCTACAATCATTCTCCAAGTTTTGAGATCCTTCACAAGAAAAGAGTATTGAAAAAATTTGATTGAGGTTAGATTGTCATAGCAAAACACAACAATAGAAATAAAATTCTTTTTTATAGCAGGACGAAAGAGTGTTAGAGAGCATGTAATTAGAATTAGAAGCCTTAATTTGAGTTAAACCATTAGTTTTACTCTCACCCATGGACACCTCCTCATTGCCAATATATTCTTCAAAATTATCTGAATCTATTGGTGACATGATGGGTTAATCCAAAATCAAGGATTCAAGGATTTGCATCTAGTGGTGATGATTTTACAGAAAGTTGACCTTAGCTTCAAAGTGATTGTGCAATTTTGAGTGACATCAGCGGTGTGGCTGATCTTCTTGCAAAGTTGCCATTTCACATCTTGCCTAGGTTGTCTCCCATTTTGTTGATTGTCAGGGTACAACTGTCGTTGAGCCTGTGGTTTTCATGATTGATTAGGGAAGCTGCGATTATTCTTGTGATGTTGGGGTTGAAAGTTGGTCCTTTGTGCAATTGCAGTTGTGATGATAGAGGATGATTTTTCAAAATCTTGGTATTTTAGAAAGAGTTCATGGTCCGTGAGTGTCTAGAATAGCTCCTCAAAGCTTAAATCTACGTCACGCGCTCTTATTGCGATAGTGATTTTACAGTACTCATGACGCAGGCCACTGGAGAGCCTGCTACTTTAAGAGCATAAACAATTGATCTGATCTCCCGTAGGTAAGTAGCAACTGTTTTAGAGGCCTTTCTCAAGTTTTGCAATTGATCTCACAAGCTGAAAATGTGAGTGTGACTTCTGTTGGCATAAGTTGTATGAAGGAGATCCCATGACATTTTTGTCGATGAAGCAGAAGCAACAGTGGGAGCAATGGTAGAGTCAATTGATGCCATCATTGCCTGTTGAATTAGTTTGTCTTGGCAAAACTATGTCTTTTATCAAGGATTTGAGACAGTACTATCAGTTTGGGTGATAGTGGTATGCGTAGCAGATTTTGCACCAGTTAGATGCCAAAGGACCATGTGTCCGTTGAGTACCATCACTAGTTGCTTCTTCCAAGTCACACAATTGAGGTTACCTTGAAGTTTGATGGGTAATTGGGCAGTTGGATTAAGCAGTACTACATGAGCGGTAGTCGGACTGCAGCGACATTATCACTAGTGGTAGCAGGGACAACCATGTTTTTCAAGAGGAGAGAAAAAAAAATTGGATCAGACTCGTGAGAGTTTTAGAGGGGCTCTGAAACCATAAATAGATTCGGAATCAAAACAAACTTGAATGATCTTATTCACTTGTAACATTAACTTAAATACAAGTAAGACGTAACGAAGTTGACTAATTCTAAGGAACTACCCTAACAACTTAATACTCCCTCCTTTTCAAAAGGGTTGGCCTAGTTTGACTTAGAACGGAGTTTAAGAAAAGAAAGAAGACTTTTTAATCTTGTGGTTCTAAATTAAAGTTATGTCAAATGTACCAAAATGTCCTTTAATCTTGTGGTCTTAAATATGCCACGTGGAAAAATAAAGTTAAAGTGTTGCCATAAAAGGAAAGGGGTCATTCTTTTTGAAACAGACTAAAAAGGAAGCAAGGTCTTTTTTTTTTTAAACAGAAGGAGTATATAACTAACTTGACTAACTCTAAGGAACCACTTGTGGAAAAGATTGGATCAAACGATTTGAACTAATTCTACTCTAACAATGTGATAACAACGAGTACTTCAACAACATCAACTGACTTATCATCCAAATCATTACCACCACCACCTATTACCAATTGCTACCATCGCGTCAATCACAACACCAACTACATCCACCATCATAACTATCACCACCACCATTACTAGCCATTAGCACCAACCATCACTACCAACACCAGTAGAACTACAAACCATTTCCAGCACCATTACAAATAATAATTTAATTTTCTTAAATTTATATCTTTTTCCAATATTTAGTTATTTTTTATTTAGCTTATATATTCATTATGTTTAACAATTAATAAATTATACATATTCTGATGTTGAAAAGGAAGGGTCTTAATAATTGAGTGTTCAGATCAAGAGACAATATGTTAATTATTCAGATGTGCATTCTGATTCAAATATTAGGCCTAAGTGAACTTTCTCGGCTGACATAAATTTAAGCGCTTGATTTTGGATGAGCATTGACTTTGACATCCTAGTGATGCATAGCCCTTTGAATTTGACTGAAATTGTGAACCAACTCTTAGTATCACACTCTACATGTTCTGCAGAGTTGTGTTGGCACCATTAACAAGGACAAGATCATATGGCAATGTTCCTCAACCACATGCTATCCTCTATTACTCGCAACGAACCACAATAGGCAGTTTTCTTATTTCAGAAGCTACAGGAGTTTCTGACACTGCCTATGGGTAACCTCAGCTCCTGCAATTTACCAAGTTTGTAGTTGTAAATAGTAATTTCCTCTTTTGAAATACTTTATTAATTGAAAGGTACAAAGATACACCTGGTATATGGAGGAAAGATCAAATTGAGGCCTGGAAACCAATTGTAAGTGCTGTCCATGACAAAGGAGGAATCTTTTTTTGCCAACTTTGGCATACAGGGAGGATATCTACCAAAGGTAACTAACTTTGCTTCAGTGGTTTTTACCAATTTATGTACTCATATTTGATTCTTTGAGAGAACCATCTCGTTAAATGTAACTCTGGCTCGTCTTAACAGATTTCCAGCCCAATGGACAAGTTCCTATCTCCAGCACAGACAAGCCAGTGAAAACTCACACTCCACCACGACGGCTGAGCACAAACGAAATTCCTCAAATTGTTAATGATTTCCGGATTGCTGCTAGAAATGCCATTGAAGCTGGTAAAACTTTTCAGCCAACTTGTCTACTTTGATAGAAGTTGTTCCAGTCGTAAATTCTATAGTACAAAAATCTTTATCATATTTACTATTCTTATGACGTATAATACTCTGAAAGGAAAGAAGACAAAAAACACAAAATCAGTAGTTTAGTAAAATGGATGGTGAGGTCCTTAGTATGAAATCACATGCATACGATGAGTTGAATATATCAGTATTTGAATAATTCTAATGACTTATACATAGGAAGAGCTTAATTTTTCCCAGTATGTAGATTCATTTTGTATTGCGTATATTTAGACATTGGATTAGAACTTGTACTGCAGAGAAACAAGAAAAGAATTTTGTACTAATTGCAACATAATTTGTGTGAACAATATGACTTTTGCAGTCAAAACGACATTATCGATGCTCTTCAGAGAAATTTAAATAAGAATGAGTTACTTTTCAGTTACCTACACCATAGTCTAGGAGAAATAAAGAAAAGAAATTTTGGTGTAGAAGTTTTTGCAAACAACTTTAGATCTTGCAGAAAATTTTCTGATATGAGTACTTTGCTAGATTGATTACTAGGTGACTTGATATAGTGATATGTTGTCACATCAGTATTGCCTTCAAATACACTTTGTAGGATTCTCAAAATCAATATTTTATTATTTAATATATTCAATTGTAGGATTTGATGGGGTTGAGATCCATGGAGCTCATGGCTATCTAATTGACCAGTTTATGAAAGACCAAGTCAATGATCGAACTGACCAATATGGAGGGTCCTTAGAGAACCGTTGTAGATTTGCACTCGAAATAGTTGAAGCAGTTGTAAATGAGATAGGAGCTGACAGAGTTGGAATAAGGCTTTCCCCATATGCTAACTACATGGATTCTGGAGACTCAAATCCAAGTGCTTTGGGACTTTACATGGCTGAATCCTTGAATAAATATAGCATTGCATATTGCCACATGGTTGAGCCAAGAATGAAAACACTTGGGGAAAAAGTTGAATGTCCTGAAAGCCTTGTACCCATGAGGAAGGCATTTAGAGGTACTTTTATTGTAGCTGGTGGTTACGATAGAGAAGATGGAAACAAAGTTGTGGATGAAGGCCGAGCTGATCTTGTTGCATATGGACGTTTGTTTATAGCCAATCCGGATTTACCCAAGAGATTTGAGCTTGATGCACCTCTCAACAAGTATAATAGGGGAACATTCTACTCTTCTGATCCTGTTGTTGGCTATACTGACTATCCATTTCTAGAAAATGTGGTATGATAATGCCAAGGAAGCATTAAAGATCACTAGGTCTTCCTCAACAAGGAAAGGATTCCTTTGTATCTTGAAGTGTCCTCACCAATCAAACTATCACCTTTGATTTAGTTTCCACCCCAGAACCTGTGTTCTAGGACTTCCTTTCTTGACTTGATTGGATATCCATTTTACATACTCATTCAAAAAAAAGGTACGTCTTTACAGGCAATGAACATATGATTGAAAGACTCAACTTGTCATGTAGCACATTATATGGAAGTTGTGAACCCATTGGAACCAAAATTTGTCTCTTTTTTCGTGCCAAAATCCAGAGTAATTTACATGACTGCTCTATTAAAAATGTTGGAAATCAATCAAGTCCAAGCCTCTGGCTCCTCTTGGTTTTGCTCAAAGTTCCCATGCTACCAATGACTTCCTTGAAGTTTCTGTAGCCCCTGACCATAAAAATGTTATGCAGATGCTAAAGATCATTTGAATCACCTTTTTTGGCAGCTAGCAAATGTGTGTTCAATATATTACACAGCACTCAAAGTCACGGTTTCTGATCACCATCCGATGAGTTCTTACCATAAACCTATTAGTGATATCTCTTAATTGATTATTAGGATATATCTTGATTGATCTTTCATATTCTAGTATCTCATTAGTGATTTAGTTTCTATTGTGATTAGGAGAAGATCACATTCCTGTATTAGCTGAAACTTTCCTTATTTGTCGTTTGCTCTCTCGTATAAATATATACACATACATATTAATAAAATAACATCTCTCCAACAGGAAAGCTTATATGGTATCAAGAGCATAAAAGCGTAACAAAAAAGTTCTCTTACCATTTGTGTCTTTCCTGATGCCACTAACAATGGTATCACCTGATGCCTCCACTGGAACGCCTCAACCACACCTTCTACCAAATTCTCCCAGAACTCTTACTATGTATTGCTATGAGCCGTTGATCAATATCAATGTTGGTTCTCATGCACCTCTAAAGCTCAACAATACAAACTACCAGTCATGAATGTTTTTCTCCAATTTAATGAACAGCCACCAAGTTCAACGATCAAACGTTTTCATCAACGACAAGACCATGTCAGTGTTGCCTCTTTATCTTCTGATATTGTTCCATTTGTCATTGACACCATATCTTCCTTTGCTCTTTGGAAAAATATAAATGGAAACCTATGTGAAGCCATTGCGTGCTTGATTATGAGTCGAGTCTCTAAGAAACTGGAAAAAAGGTAACCTCTTTATTACTTTATATCTACAAATCGTCCAGTTTGTCGCACAACTTCTCTGCTCAAAATCAGAAAGTCTCTTTCAACTCTATATAAGAAGCCACATTTCTTTCTTGGGTATATTTGTATCACATGTCTTCCTCATTTAGTAGCTTTGCTGCTAAGGTTTGTGACATAAACTGTTTAAGTTACAGGTCTTTCTAAAGATATTTAGAATTGTAATTAAAGTTACTACAACACATGTTTAATAGGGGACTGAAGAAGCAAAGAGAAATGGCAGCTGCAGCTAAGAAGGAAGAGAAGAAGACGTATAACTAGCCTGCCGAGTATGACACGCCTTTAAGTATGCTGACAATATTGTGAAGGTAGGGTTGACTCTAGTTGTGCATCTGCATTAGTTTTTGTTAAATGGGTTCATCAGTCTAGTGTCGATTATCGTACATCTAAGATCATCATAGAATATATATGTTTGGGAGCGTATATTTGCTATTAATTACTTAATTATGCCTTCAGTGAGCCAATACTAACGAGATAAAGCAATGTGGACATATTTACAGATTGAAAAGGATGGTTATCATGGTGGAGGAATATCAATGCTGCAATGGTGACCTGGACAGAATTGGAGCCCGAGTACTTGACCAATTCTTCTGAAGAACGAACTTCTCATAGTGTTAGTATCTTACTGGATGCCCAATTCTTAATGTTCTTGGAAATATGTTAGTAATCTATCTAACACTAATGGATTGGAAAAATATTAGGATGTTACTTCTCAAAATAAAATATTGCAACTTGTTGGATATTACTTTTTATACTGTTAACTTTTTTTAATTGTTGCAGCAGTATCATTACTTTTAATGATTGTTTCAACTATTATTGACTTAATTTGCTTTAGGCTTAATTGACTTTAGAGCACTGTTCTAAGAACCAATTTGTGGGGTTTAAACTGCTGCAAAATAACCATGCTGTTTGTTACAGGTGTTAGGAGAAAAAAACCCACAACATATTATGGTTGATCTAACCTTGGGGTTGTTGTTACAACAAACTATGGGGGTTCCTAACCCCCCCCCCCCCCCCCATAGTATGTAAAAATAAATCCCGGCTATTTAGGCTTTTTTGTGATGGAGTTCTGTGCTATCTATCTTATTGGAGCATTTGCTAAATCTGCACCCTTCTCTCCTCTACTACAAGCATCAGCTAAAATTTGTTGAATCTGTAATATGCTTACTAGATATCTAGTGATACACGATTATTTTGATTGACATCTCGTCCAACAAGGCCTACTGTGTGTTTCTCATGTTTCTTCTTGAGATCCGCTGGTTGATCTTTTTCTCACCAAGCCGCTTCTAAAAGCTCCATTTCGAAGCACTAAGGTCCAAGATTGGTATGTCAGACTGATCTTCCATCTTAAGGGGTATATTAGTGATATCTCTTGATTGATATCTCATTAGCTTTCCTTTGTTTAACAGTATTTACCAGAAAATATATATATATGTAATTGTAGAAGGGTAGATCTATGTTTTAAGGCTTAAAAATTTAATTGTGTTTGGATTGGATCTCTTTATCTTTAATTATGATATGGTAGTTTATTTTATTAGTTTGAGCAATTGTTTTTGTTGATACCTTTCTATTATAGTTTGAAAATTAAATAGAGAGAATTATAAGCATAGAAAGACAATTAGCACTAAATTGTTGATTGCAATGTTACTATGTAAATAGCTAAGAAAAGGAGAGTCCTCTATCCAAATGAACTCTAGAGATATCCAATTGTTTGAAGCTGTGCAAAAAAGAACTACATACTCCGGCTACCAGAATTTCTATTTTTTATTCGTTGATTATGTCTTCTATATGTAAGAAAAATAGAAGGAAAATGCTAAGAGTATTTGAAATTACGATATAGTGAATTATTTATTTTGACTCAATAATTTGAAGAGATATTACTATAATGAAAAAAAAAATGTAGTACAAATTAAGATCAAACACTAAAAACAAATAATTTAGTCAAATTACTCTATTTATTATATTTTTCTTAAAGAACATGAAAAGAACCAACATAAAAAATAAAATAGAATGGAGGAAGTATATTTACCGAGCGAAAGCTTATTTTGCACTTAATTATCGACGCAGTATATTGTAATTATTTTGCACTCATACAACTGATATTTTTGCACCATTAACTAATATTTTGGATACATATTGGAGTAATAATATCGTCATCTAAAGCTAACATTATAAGATTACATATAGATTATATTCTATATACAAAAACACAACAAGTAAACCAAAAAGGCATAAGATATATAGACAAGAAAATGATAAAATGATCAGTAGCTTGGATCCTCCAAAACCTACCTAAATCGTAAAATACAGACTAGTTTCTGTCCAAACTCACATCGACCAATTAAGTCAAATTATGTCTATAAGAATTGTTAATGCAATATTGATAATTAGCCCATTAAATTACAAAATGAGGTAATGGTTGATCAGAGGTTGATTCTTTGAACTTGAAGCTATACGACAATCTACTTGGGATAAGATGGTAATGCTTCAGCAAGGTTGTCCTTTTCCTCCAAGTCGTCGAGCCAGGTCAAAATCTTTTTTTACTGTGCATCAAGAATAATGAAACAATATAAATTTTACGCATCATAAAACAAAGCATGCCGAGCAAACAAGTAGGTTGTTCTAAAGACCTAGTATTGGAATATGTGCGACCACTACCAGTCAACGGACCAGGTCCCTTGACACAGCAAGAACAGTGCGGAAGATTAAACAATATAAAGAACACAACACAAACAGTTTACGTGGAAACATCCTTGCTCAAGGGAGTAAAACCACGACCTATTGCACACTTCACTAATCTCCTCAAGCAAAAGCGAAACCCGATTATAATCAATGTGAGAAAAAGTTATTAATCTCACGATCAAATAATCTACCTATTACTTGAAGAGCCTAAGCGGATACAACACTGCCCACTAAATCACCTAACTCTAGATGACCTAGAATTTGACTAAGCAACAAACCAATATTGCCCACTAAATCAGTTAGCCTTAACTAATTTAGACTTTTACAAACCCAAAACAAATATCTGAATCCTTTATAGATTAGGAACATATTTACAATGTAAGTACATAGACACAAATCTCTAAATACAACAAAGATTCTTCTTTACTCTATCAGGTCCTTCTGTTGAGTTGAGCAATGTTCTTCCTTGAAGATGGCCTTCTGTTCAAGCTTGTGACTTTTCAGAGAAAATCCAAGTTTATTTTGTCAAGTCTTAAATTTGTGTTTGTTGGAAAGAGATAATATAATTTCCCACAAATTCGTTGAAGTCATCCCATTGGCTGAAGGCCTGCTGTTGGAAACGTTGTGCACCTACCGCATCAGAGATGACAACTTTTCTGACAGTTGTCTTTTCGTCCTTTTCACGTCGCAGTCTTGTGGGTACCAGGTCCCTTGCTTGCGGGAACCAGGTCCCTTGCAAAAATCTATATGAGTTCTTGAAAAGGCTTGATGGCTGACTTCCTTCTTTGGATGAATGAATATAATATGGTGTTTGTCATGCTAAAAGTATCAAACATAAAGAGTTATTATCCGTTGGACAAACATCCTCCTCCATTCTGATTGGTGTAGTACACTGACGCCTTACCAATCTCTAACGTGACAGCTTTACAGCTGTAACCAATTATGTATCTGATGGAGGAAACTCTGTCTGGTACCAGGTCCTTGCATTTGTGAGATACTGAAACATACAATCTCGTCCGCTCTTCTTATTGGTGTTAGATACTGTACTTTTCACCTACCACCTGATATGACAACGTTTATGACTATACCCCATTTGTATCTGGACAAGAGCACTCTACCAGGAACCAGGTCCTCGCATTTGGGAGGATCATCAAAACACCTAGAATATAACAATTTTCCCCTTTTTGATGATAGCACACAAATATACCTCACAATGAGTTTATCATTCATCTTATTGTCAGCAGTTCCAATAACAAGAATATGGTTCCTTGTTATATCGATAAGTTTGTTAAATCATCAAAACATCATATCAAGTTCGAGCTATCATCTCAATTCAGCTTCGAACTAACATTTTCTCCCTTTTTGAAGATAACATACTTATTCACCAATTCCCCCTATCAAAAAGAATTCTTAGGGTAACTTGAGTTTCATCATCTCGAAGTTTGTCAACTTATCAAAATATCAACATAGCATTTTCCTTCTTTTTGATGATGACATACTTATTTATCAGTTCCCCCTATCAAAAGGAATTTATTGGGGTAACTTTAGTTTCATCATCTCGAAGTTTGTCAACTCATCAAAATATCAACGTAGCATTTTCCTCCTTTTTGATGATGACATACTTATTCATCAGTTCCCCTATCAAAAAGAATTCTTGGGGTAACTGGAGTTTAATCATCCCTAAAGTTTGTCAAATCATCAAAACATCAACATATCATCTTCCCCTTTTTGATGATGACAAACATCTGCTTCCCCCTATCGACAAGACCAGGTCCTCGTCAGGTAGCAAGCATTTATTCCCCCTGTCAGCATGACCATATCTCTTCAAGTAACTACCATTGATTCCTCCTATCGATGTGACCATGTCTTCTTCAAGCAGTTATAACATTATTGATCTCATACCTTACCTTAACAACTGTCCCCCTTTTGACATCATAAAAAATGGTTAAAACAGTAAACTAAGTTGACAGAAATATAGTTCTTGCAAATTCATGGCCACTTGGGCGACACAGAGCATGAGCAAAAAGGCATAAAGTAATGAAACAAGTCAGTAGAAACAAGACATTTAACATCCATAAACAAAAGATCAGTCATCAAAGCATTGCATGGACGATTACAGATAAAAACCAGAACAATGCCCAAGAGATAAGTGAGGACTGACATAGAGAGGTAGGAAGACAAGGGATAATTTAGAGGCAAGGGATTGAAAGAATAGAATTAGTAGATCATATCCCTAACATAAGATTTCAAGAATCTTCTCTTAGCGTACAACATGATGTACAGCCCAACCTGTATGTTTAACCTTGAGGGCTGCCAATTTTTATTTTTTATTTTTTGTTAGCACCTGGTCCCTCTGATAATGTTGTTTCAGAAGCTGGACTTTTAAACAACCCATTTCAGTATTCTAGTTAACACGAGCAACTGTCATAGCTTCCAACACCAGCTTGAGTTTTTCATAACAGAAAGATTGGTAACACAAACAACTCAAGGCCTCCGAGATGAATAGATCAACAATTGAGGAACCAAGAAGATTTTTTTTACACCTTCCTCTTCAGAAAACTTTGAGTTCTCTGAATATCAACTTCTCCTTTTTTTTAGCATCATCTTTTCCACTTCTTCATTTTTCACGGAGGACTAGATCCCTCTTCACACTTAAAACATTTTCATCAAAGAATTCTCCAGCAAGAATCAAGGGGTTAACAATTTGAAGTGTGTTTGAAAAAGAAGAGAAAAGAAAATTTTGAAGCACCTTGATATTTGGAAGGCAACTTAATTTTTCTGGGGAAATATAAAGAAATATGGAATATAAAGAAAGAGAAAATAAGGTATCATTTTGGCACTCAAAAGATAAGACAACAGTCAGATTCCTGAAGGACAGACATGTGGCAATTTCAATGGTTCTCATGCATAATTCAAACTGCAATGTTAAGATTGCTAACCTTCGAGAAAGGACCAGGTCCCTCTCTATAGTTTGAATGTCATTGCCTAGATCTATCCTAACCTCCCTTTTTCTTCATCCCCTTTTCCATGTGTGTATACCTACAAAAGGTATGAAACTGAATTTGCTAAAACATACATAACCGAAAGCTAGGATACTTGCTCCCTTTTCATAGTCATTAAAAGAGTTGATTGCTTCAGGTAGGATCCATTCAAGAACGTTTTAGCATTTCCATCATCATCTTGATTAATTCAGCCAGATTTTATGAGCTTCAAGATGTTTCCTGATCCACAAGAGTTGACCCCATCAAGCTGCACTTGCTACATTTATTACCTCAGTTGATGAAAGAGTAATTGAATCTTGCCTTTTAATTCCACATGAGTGAAAGATCAGCGCATAACATAATCCACTCTTGAGGTACTCAATCTATCAGCTTGATACTTAGCATAATAAACAACACCATGTGCTACAAATCAAAAAGTCTCCCGATGGACAGAATAGGACCAGGTCCTCTATCTTCTTCAGATGACTTAAGATTTTCTCAGCAACCTTCAAAATATTTTCCTTTGTACATGAGTAGAGTCTTTGAACCCGATTGATCAGCATCCAACTTCTAGTTAGTGCCCAAGAAAGTATGAATTGTCTATACACCCAAAATATGAAACTCTTTCAGCAGCTTCTTTGAACTGGTACCAGGTTCTTTCTTTGATCAGACAACAATGACCCCTGAATGTTGTGCTATCTTTTTCTCTGTAGCTAAGCTCCTATGAGAGTATTCGACTGGTCCGTGCTTAGAGCTTCAGTGAAGATGTCATCCACTTGATCTTCCTTCTTACAAAGCTTCATGATGACATTATCCCTCTTTATCATTGTCGTAACTTCAAATATTTTACGCCATTTGAATAGCTCATTAATGTGCTTTTCTGGACAACCGAGGATACCTTTCAAGGTGTGCTAAATCTGTAGCTCTAAGAAGAAATTTAATTCTTCCATTATGCTTATTTCAACACTCACTTTCAATGAGTGAAATAGAAATAAGATATTCACACAATACCTCAAAGATTGCATAAAAGATGATATCATCAATATGTACCTGAATGATCAGCAGTTCCTTGCATATTGAATTCAAAAAGAAGAGTTTTTGACAATTTTACCTCTCTTGAAGACATTGTTGAGGAGCAACTTGGACAACCGATCAGCTTGTTGGGGAACCGACTATCAGAGTTTACTTCTTTCAAATTGAGCTTGATTAGCTTCTTCATTCTCACCTTCAAAATTCACATTATCAGTTTGAACTGCATCATCTTTGTTCAGAACTGTCTAGAGGACCAGGTCCTTCATCAGGTTCATCATCTGCATCATCTTCTTTGAGATTGTTGGATTCATGAAAAGGATGTTCTTCAGCAAGCTCACTATTTAAACTATCTCTCTGATTTTCAAGCAACTCTTTTATCTCAGGAACTTCTTTCCTTGCAACTTCTAAAGACTCATCAATAAACACATGACCATTTTTAGTATACCTCTGATAAGCCTTACTGGAGGAAGAATGTACCACAATTATTCTTTCATGAATATTGAGATCACTTCTCAAAATCATCATTATGGCCACACAACATGTAGTTTCTACCACTTCAGCCAAAAGTTCTTTGGAAGATTAAAATTATGCATGTTTCAACTGAAGGATATTCTAATCTGCTTCTTACTAAACATATGTCACAACCTTTGTCACTGCAAATATCCTTTCATGCAAACTGGGACCAGGCTCCCCGACACAGGTTTGTGCAGCAAAGCAACACACACATGAGCACGTCTCTTGAGTCATACCTCAACATTCTTACCTCGACCATTAAGTTCAGTGAGGCTTTTCTTGTCATCACCAAATGAGACACCTCCACTTTGAAGTGCCTTGAGAGAGAGGAAGTTCAGTGCTTTGAGCATCCACCATTCATGAATCGACGCTGGTTGTTGCCACTTCCTCTCACAAGAATGTCATATCACGTGTTAGCCTTGGGAACCCACTTCAGTTGAAGTTCCCAGTAAGCGGATAAAGGAGTGATAAGAGAATTCTTTGTCAAGTGAGGCAGATTGATATTTTTCAACTTAGGAACAGAAGCAAGATCAGGTCCCTTCTTCTGCAAGTTCTTCTGTTGGCCATACACAGGACCAGGTCCTTTCTTCAGTCTATTCCGTGGTTTGGAATAGTTTGATGAACTTTCTCCACAATCTTTAAACGCAGGACATTCTCTTTTGCAGCTCAGATCTCCTTTTATGTTGTTTCCTTGATCGAGTATATTTGTATGGATCTTAGAGGAATTAGTCCATTTGAGGGAATTTTCAAGTTCCTCTTTTACACGGACCAGGTCCCTCTCCAATGCATGATTTCTCTCGAAAGCCACTTTAATCTTCATTTCAGCGGTATGCAGCTTATTTTCAAGGTCTAGCTGCAATCTGCTAGCCTCATTCTTTCCTTTAAAAATTGTAGTAGTCGCCCCTTTTATCTTTTCCTTTAGTTCTAGATTTTGTTTCTAGAACAACCATTTGACTTTCAATATCAGATATTTGGGCAATTAAAGCAATTTTTCCATCTTGAAAGATGTCTAGGTTGTTGTTTACGAGATCCTTCTCATCTTTCATCTCACTAATCAAATCAAGTAATACAATAACCAACTTTTTCAACTTACTAGTACAAAAGGTATTCAAGTTTTGCTTGAAATAAGATAGAGTTACCTTTTCATCAGAATCTTCCTCGTCTGACTTTGCCATAAAACCATTATCTTTGTTTTCAGAATCATCTGAATCACTTGAGGATTTTTCCCATGCAGCCATTTCTCTTTTTACTGCCCCGAAGAACACTTCTCTTCGCTTATCTTGGGACAGACCTGGTCCTCTTCTTTGTCTTTACCTTCTGTAGTCTTAACAATAGGATTAGGTTCTTCAAGGAACATGAGCTCATCTGTGATGTTGGAGAATATGGTGCGCACTTCATGAATGAGTTCACTATCATTCATGGTGAAATCTTCAAACTGGGTAGAAAAGAGATCTAGCTTAGATTTCCTTATTTCCTCAGTGCCCTCATAAGTTGTTTTTAACAGATCCCAAATTTCCTTGGCTGATTCACAAGATGAAATCAGATCGTATTCATTTATATTTAGGCCACACATCAATAGTTTCCTTGCTTTATGATTTTTTTGGACTAATAGTCTGTCAGAGTCATTAAATTTTTTTCTAGTTTTGGGAATGACTCTTGTGACCTCTCCATCTTTAACCTCCATAGTTGGCACATAAGGACCTTTACATATGACGTCGCATACTTCACTGTCCTCAGTCATGAGATAGTCTCTCATCCGAATCTTCCAATATTTATAGAGCTTACTATCAAACAATGGAGGTCTTGTGGAGACTGATTTCTTTGCTTATTTAGTAGTGACACCATTTCTCGCAGGAACTTCTCTCTGGGTGTTAACCAGATAGAGAGCACCTGCTCTGATACCACTTGTTGGAATATGTGCGACCACTACCAGTCAACGGACCAGGTCCCTTGACACAACAAGAAAAGTGCGGAAGGTTAAACAATACAAAGAACACAACACAAGCAGTTTACGTGGAAAACTCCTTGCTCAAGGGAGTAAAACCACGACCTGTTGCACAGGATTTACAACCGTCTTCACTAATCTTCTCAAGCAAAAGCAAAACCCGGTTACAATCAATACGAGAAAAAGTTATTACTCTCATGATCAAGTAATCTACATATTACTTGAAGAGCCTAAGCGGATACAACACCGCCCATTAAATCACCTAACTCTTGATGAATTAGAATTTGACTAAGCAACAAACCAATGTTGCCCACTAAATCAATTAGCCTTAACTGATTTAGGCTTTTACAAACCTAAAACAGATATCTGAATCATTTATAGATTGGGAACAAATTTACAATGTAAGTACATAGACACAAAGCTCTAAATACAACAAAGATTCTTCTTTACTCTATTAGGTCCTTCTGTTGAGTTGAGCAATGTTCTTCCTTGAAGATGACCTTCTATTCAAGCTTGTAAATTTTCAGAGAAAATCCAAGTTTAATTTGCCAAGTCTTAAATTTGTGTTTGTTGGAAAGAGATAATATAATTTCCCACAAATTCGTTGAAGTCATCCCATTGGTTGAAGGTCTGCTGTTGGAAAAGTTGTGCACCTACCGCATCAGAGATGACAGCTTTTCTAACAGCTGTCTTTTCGTCCTTTCCACATCGCAGTCTTGCGGGTACCAGGTCCCTTGAAAACTTCTATATGAGTTCTTGAAAAGGCTTGCTGGCTGACTTCCTTCTTTGGATGAATGAATATAATATGGTGTTTGTCATGCTAAAAGTATCAAACATAAAGAGTTATTATCTGTTGGACAAACACCCTCCTCCATTCTGATTGGTGTAGTACACTGACGCCTTACCAACATCTGACGTGACAGCTTTACAGCTGTAACCAATTATATATCTGATGGAGGAAACTCTGCCCGATACCAGGTCCCTGCATTTGTGAGATACTGAAACATACAATCTCGTCCGCTCTTCTTATTGGTGTAGGATACTACACTTTTCACCTACCATCTGACATGACAACTTTTATGACTATACCCCATTTGTATCTGGACGAGAGCACTCTGCCAGGAACCAGGTCCCCGCATTTGTGAGGATCATCAAAATACCTAGAATATAACACCTAGAGATGCCCAACATATTCCACAGGCCAGTAGTAATACAATTACTGTTCAGAAGAGGAAAGGATCAAAATAATCCCTTTTCTTTGGATCAAGGCTCAAAGTGAACCCTGAGTTTTTACATGGAGCATTAATATTCCCTCATGTTTGCAATATTGGTGCACTTTCGGTCCTTATCCAAAATTTTACCTATTTTTTAGCATTGATTTTATCCACAACCTATGTATGGGATGTTCAATCGTCATTTTATATATTTAGTAGAAATAACAACTCCATATGATCAAATGTGAGAAGAAAAACACTTTGTTTTGTTTAGTTGAAACCGTATTGCAGGTAAAGTCGAGAGATTTATCATAATAATTTCACGTGCAATAGTACAATTTTTTCTTTTCCTGCAAAGTCATATGTTAAGATGTTTTTAGTTTAGCTGCAATAATATTTCTAGTGAACAGAACAAGGTATTTTTCTTATCATCTTCTCTCAGATAGAGTTATTATTTCTATTATATATATAAAAAGACGATTGAACATTTCTTATATAAAATTTTAGACAAAATTAATGCTAAAAAATAGGCAAATTTTACGGGAGGATCAAAAGTGCATCAATATTGCAAACATGAGGGAGTATTAGTGCTCCATGTGAAAACTGAAGGATTACTTTGAGCCTTAACCCAAATTTGAAGGACTATTTTGAGCCTTGCCTCTGTTTAGAACATCAGGTGCTCATTATCCATAAAAGTAGTTGAGACCCTAAGAAAAGATTGCCTCGTTTCACTTTTGCATCTTTAGCAAATGTATATATGGAGTACATAATATTAGGACCTCGAAAATATGTGCATCTATGGCATCATTTGTGTGCCGTAACTTTGAGACTAAAAGCATTTGTAGAGTGTTTTCCTCCTTTTTCTGAGGGAGGACGAGGATAACACAATTGAGAAAGCTAATAGGTATATGAAATCTACAACACAAAATTTGTGAAAGACAATAAATTTGATTTAGGACCCTGAAAAAATATGGCATCATTTGTATGCTGTAACTTTGCGACTAAAAGAATTTGTAGAGCATTTTCCTCCCAATACAATTGATAAAGCTAACAGGCATATGAAAAGTACAACAGAAAGACTAGTAATTTGATGAACAAGGCTGCCAGCCCATTCCCCAGAACAACAAGGAAATGAGTAGAGGGATGTCGAGAAAGGTCAAGTGAGGAGACAGAACAATATCATCTAAAAAACCAAAAAAAGGAAGAATTGAAGAGGAAACTTACTAAGTGTAACACGCTTTGCATGAATAGCACATAGCATTGCATCTTCAAACATACAAACTAAAAAATCTTCAGCAGCCTGCAAAATAACTATATCACTCTTGCTGATATTGATTAAGAATAGAGTTCAATATGACATATTTTACAAAATTAGGCTGAAAATACTAATGTTGACTGGACTAGACTATGCGCCTCAAACTTTCTTACTTTATACATACATCTACATATTTCTATTTTAAAGATATTAATGATGAAAGCATCCTAAGAAAAGCATGATGTACAAGGATCATAGGACTATCAATATACTATATATGCAGGCAAAGAAAAATTGCCTGACAGAATAAGCAGAGCTTGACATGATTGCAACACTGTCTTAACTCTTGAGGAATCTGTCTGAAGAATGGAATAAAGTTATTTCACTCCAAACTACACCAGATGGCACAGAAAGAAGATGAATAATAGTTCACATATCAACACTAAATATAAAATTTTTGACACTAAGTAGACATTTCAAGTTTCTACTGCTGACTGTTCTCCTATGACTATCTATCTATTATTCGCGCATATCCACTTACAAACAAAGGATTTCAGAATCATTTCCCAGGTTCCTGTAGAGGACACAATGTATATTAGTTCACAAGGTCATATGATGCCCTTCCAGATACAAACAAAATCTCATAGTGAAGCACAAATGCAAGCTTGCAGAGAGACATGCTAAAGCTCTGTCCTTTTTTCTCACAAGTTATCAACAGCACCCTGCCATCTTAACGGGATTCTATCTGTTTCTGATCAATGATCACAATTCACAACAAACCAATTCCTTTTACACCATATGTTTACTGGACATCAACTTGTCACTGACAAAATAGAAAAAACTACATCTTATCATGCACATAGCAAATACACTTATAGATACATGTACTCAAAAAGGTTAAGAACACACGGGATTTTTGGTTTATAGCACAAAGAATAACGGGCATATTAGAGGAGGCCATAGGGTATACCCACTACGAAATCCCTTTTATTTTCATTGCCTTATTCTTTGCTAGGGAACTTAAAAAATAAGGTATGCCATGCTAGAGACTACATATCAGAATTGGCTTAGCTTTAGAGGAAAAGGTGAAACACTTGTTTCTGCAAGATCAGGTGTATGCTGATGCAAATATAAGCATTATTTATGACAACAAAACAAAAACCAATAGGAATTAGTGATACTTAGTAATAATATATGTCCTCTCAATTAGAACAATGTCCAAAAGGTGTTGACACCCTGATTTAGGGGTAAGCTGAGTAGCAACTTTATTTGTGGAGATTGGACTGTACCATTCAGCTTCAGGACATAAGCTTATTTAAGCAAAAATCAAAGATAAGTAGATTTTACTTTGAACTTGCCTGATTAATACACCTAAATTGTATTTTTGCAATTTGAAGATATCAAAGCAATTCAGTTGAGCAGGACTCATGGAGCAAGAGTTTGTGATAGACTTCTCTAAATGTGATAAACCTTCCAGAAACTCAAACTCCCTTAGCTAACTAATAACCTTGCCCATCTTGGATTCCCTGTTAGGAGATACTATCAACTGTCTTTCTTCTATCTCTTCAAAAATGTCGACGTGTGTGTCGGATTCTCCAAAATTAGTGCATTTTTGAAGAATCTGACACGGATGTGGCATCATTTTTTAAGAGTCCGAGAAACATAGCCTTCTTGCCTAACGTATGCTAGAAGTGGTACTGAAAAGAGTAATATCACTTTAATAATATGTTGGCTCTTTTTGTATACAGTGACTACCCTGACCACACAATTGGAACATGCTTTATATTATTATGGAGTTCATCTTATAAATTTCTATAACTTGGAGAAACCTTTTATAGGAGATTATTAAGCGCATTTTGGAATTGATAGTAGAATTACTCTAAGATGCATTAAAATTATTTTAATATGTCTATGGAGCAGAGACTATTTCAAGCTAAATAGGTTATTGACATATAAACTACTAGATGATATTGAGAGCATATATATTCATATGAACTGCTTTCCCCGTCCTCTCTAGGAACACATGATTACTATAAATAACTTAAGTAATGCACATAATCCAAATAGCAGCTAACAGATCCACTTTTCATGGTGAGAAATTGTCATACCGCTTGAATAGCAATTAACGCCTCAGCTTGCCAACGAGTTACCTCAGGTGCAAAAAAGTTACTAACTTCTCTAACCTGCCTCAGTCAGAAAAGAGGCATAAAACAATTAGGTTTGGTGAAAACTTAATAGAGGCAAGGATAAATTCATAATCTATTTGGTCTAAACTAAACCATATAATCATCAAGGGTGTCTATATAGCAGTTCCACAACACATTTACATTTAAAAGAATAGTCAGAATGCAGATTTTGGTGTACACTCTTAGTCCACACTTTCTGCCAGAACAACAAACTGAGTCCCAGGGACTTGTTGAAATTTAGAGAAGGAGGATAGACACTTTTTTTTACTAGAAAATCTGCATAGGACACCTCCTTAAAATCTGAAATTACCAAACCTCCTACAGAAGCAGATCCTCTCTAATTAAAAAGAGTTAACTAGTTTCCACTTTTGTAAGTTCGGCAGATCATAAATGGTCTTCCCACTCCGATCACATATTGAAATCAAAACGAAACGGAAACCTTTCTTTGAACGATAGTGCATAATCCCAAAAAGTAGTCAAACTAACCTGCAAAGCCAATTCCAAACAAAGAAAATACTAGAATATAAAGAAAGATACAAGAACGAGACTGAATTTTTCATTTCTTCTATTTGTTTACATCAGTGTGTTCTCCATTGAGAAAGTAAATCAGTTAGAAAATAGGTGAATGTTCATCTTGACGTAGTCCAAAGGAAAATGAGAAACTGAGTTATCGAGTAATACATAAGTTGAAGCTTGCCAAAGATGCCTCTTCTGAAGGGTTTTTATTCAAGAAAAGGGGGCTATTCTCTCCAATCCATAGTATTTTTATTTTTTACTATCTTTTCAGCATCTTTTTTTTTTCTTTGCAAGTTAGTCTCACTAATACTCATCAACTAGTGGAAAGCAATAACATTAGCTCTATCCGCTAGTGCAGCAGTGATTCACATATTCTCCACTCAACTAAGGCATAAAATTAGACACCTGCAACTTTTTCCATAATCTACATTAAATTAGACACCTGCAACTATTCAGATTCGACTTCAAGTGCATTCTTCCATTTCAGCCAGATACATCGTAATGAAGCACTCAATCAAGCTATAATTGGTTTAGACTTTCTACTATTTCATCTAATCATATGGCTGCTAAGCTCAAATTATATCTAGCAGTCTAACTTTATCCTTATAAGCAAGCACAACATCAACAGAACCATGATGAATGTAACCAAAAAAGAAATGCATTAGAATAAAGAGTTTGATATGCTATAAGTTCATATGATGAAAATTATATGTCTGATGAAAGGAGCAGCTGAATAACAAGATCCCACGTCTTCTAAAAGTGCCTGATTTCTCGAAGCGCCCTTGCCCCTGGCCTGTAACGCTTCTCCTGTTTTGACTTCTGCACTGAAGCTGAAGCACAAATATTCTCCCATCATTAGAAATATAGGATTGGCTGGAAAACAAAAGAACGAATGTATTTAGAAGGCTTCATATAGTTAACCTAACTAGCTTCAAATTGACACCAAAAAGTTGATTGAAACAAAAGTAGAGCAACATAACTACATGTCCAAAGCATGAAAATACAGAAATGCACATTAATTTACTTCTATATACACTTACTTGCCGTCGCATTCCTTGTACTTTTTCTTGTAGGAGTCTGATTTATCCCAAAGAAAAAAGCAAAATATTAACCTCACGAACTTCGAATTATCAGGAGAACACAAAAACGACAGTTATTATCATACTGATGGAGTCGCTGAAGGTCCAGCTTCAACTGCAAGTCCAGGTAGAACATGACCAAATTTAGGAACAAAAATCAAATAAAATCCAGAAAACTAAAATGAAGTATATACGCTAGTGTAAACATTCACACACACAGAAACCATCGCTTGAATGTACATAAAAGGCATTAAGCACCGCTTCTTATCTTCAACTTGAGCCATATACATTGCCTATATTTTCGAATTCGCTAACCTTTACAAAACTCTAAATTTAAAACGAAGAGATAGAGAAGTAACCAGAAGGTTTGGTGTGACTTCGTTTCGCGGCTTGTTTGTTTCTTGCCATGGCTGCTGGTGCAGAGAAGAGCAGATTTGAGTAAATTGTTAATGGAGGATTTTGACTTGTTTGAGAGAGATAATTGAGTTCCATGATCTTTTGAAGAAGAATGATTTGAGTAAATTATACTCAACCCCCTGCCCCTACACCTGCACCTGCCTGCAACTGCAACTGACATAATTTACCTTGTCTTTTTCCATAATTTGAAATTTAAAAGTTCCACCAGTATCATTTTAAGCTTGTATTATCATGTTTTTAAGAATTAACGTATTTAATTTTGTTTTAGTTTGATCATGTACTTTATAGTTTACAAATTAAATATTTAAAGGTTTCCTTTTGAATTGAAATGCTCTACTTTTTTTACATATATTATTTTAAGTTGTTTCCCCACTAAACAAATTTTGATACAAGTTATTTATTTACACAATTATTTAAGGCTTCGTTTATTTTTCCCATTTTTTATTTAATTACACGTTGAGGCTATATTACTTTTTAATTATTTTAAAAGAAATACTCCACTTTATACTTATCGAATCAAGCTTTTAAATTTATTTTATCTGAGTAAGATTTAATTAAGATAGTTCATTCATTCGGTCTCTCTTAATTTATTATTGATTTTAAAGAATAAAATTTAATTAATTTTACTTTCGAAGATACTTCTTTCGGTTGAGACAACGGTTATAGTAACAATTAACACTATTCTATAAGCAATATGTGTATTTGGAAAAGAATCAAGTCTTTTATTTGATTGAGTATTTTCATTTGGTCATATTTTCTACTTGTATTATTTCTCTTAACACTTTTAATTCAAAAAATAAATTTAAATCGTCAATATCAGAATAACTATTTTGTGTTAAAGAAAGTTCAAGGTTAAGCCAATATTTTTCGAAATTCTCATCATCTGGTGATCTCAATATTTTATCACTATATAAGAAATCAAAAACATTTTCATATGCTTCAATTGGTTCAAATCTCTTTTGAAGTGAAAAAATAGTTTGATCTACTCAACATATATAAAGCAACCAACTCTAAAAGATTCTCAAGGGACTTCGTGATTTCGCTATCTATATATTCATCAAATTATTTCTTATGAAATTCAGGTTAATTTTCATCTCATATGCAATTTCCTAGTAGAAATCATAACACTCATAGTACATATAATTCTTTTTAAAAAAATAGCATATATAAGTAATTGTTTTTTATAAATGGAGCCCCAAAAATATATGGGGCCTCAAACGACGGTTTTAGTGGCCTAGGGTTAAAATCGTCCTGCTTCTAGTCATTTGGTTAAAAAAAATTAGTTCTTCACCCAAATGTTTGATATTCACTTTAGAGTCAGACTAAATTCAAATTCGCAACAAAAGTCTCTCATTGGTAATAAACGACTTCTTAACAAAGGCGATTTCCTATTCTCTAATTATGAATGAAAGAGTACTTAAAAATTGAATTTTTTGTTGGCTGTGGAGGAGCGAGGTTGGTGACTTGTGTAAATACCAAAATTTTAAAACTTAACACTAATTTTAAAAAAAAATCTCCTAGCTATTTTTAAGACTAAAATTTTTGAAACTTAAATAATAATCTCAAAACTTCCTCAGAATTCAATGCTTGTATTAAATATTTTTCAAATAAAAAGACAATATATTCTTGATGGGCTAAAAGTGACGAGTAAAGCGTAGAAAAAAATGTAGAGTTCAACGGTAACTTGAACATGCCTTGATGATTGTAGTAGATAGATTCATATATTGAGAAATAATCTCTTCTAAAATCCGGACTGATAAATAAATAGGAAGTAAAATAGTATAGGCTAAAGTCCGATCAAAAAGAAATACTCAAGTATACTCTTATGAAATAGCTATTTAGGTTAATAATATTCAAGTTCGAATTACCCAACTGAATTGCTTTGATATTTATGAATAAGCACATATATATGTGTGTGTGTATGTATGTGTGTGTATGTATGTATGTATGTATGTGTGTATGTATGTATGTATATATGTGCTTATTCATAAATATATAATAATAGTATTAAATAGAATGTAATAGTATTTATTCTACAACAAATTTGATTATCAGGACAAATGATTTTGTCACTTATAACTCATATTTCGTCACAAAATATCTTTTTGACGTTTGTCAACCTATCATCACTAAATGTGTAGCTAATACGATTTAATATTTCGTCACTAAAAATATATTAACTACAAAAATAAAAACTCGTACCCAAAGCATAGCATTTGTGACAAATTTGTTTGTGATAAAAAGTGAATTTTTTCGTAGTTGATAGTATAATTTTGATTTGTCACTAAAAAAGTTATGAACAACGATAAAACTACGTCGTCACTAATTATTTAGTTCAATTAGGGACAACACCAATCGTCTCTAATGTTTTATGTATTTCATAGTTGAAGAAATATAATTTTGTCACTAATGACTATTTTTAGATTAAAAAAAATATCTCGTTCTTAAATGTACAAATTCGTGACAAATTTATTATTATTAGAAATGAAATGCTCGTGCTATGAACGGGTCCAACATGTATGATTTTGAAAAATACTTACGACTTTTCTCTATCATAGTCTGATTATCATGAACAAACATTGTTGCTATAAAATTAAAAGAACATGATACACTATTGCTAAACTATTTCTATAAATAAATAAAAGTTTCAGAAGTATAAATACTACGATAAATACATCATTAGAATTTTTCTGATGCTCAATTGATGATGCTCCCTAAATATATAAAAATTCTAAAAGTAGAAATACTTCAATAAAAAAACATCAAAATTTCAGTCATGCTCAATTGACGATGCTCCCTAATAGACGAGCACAAGCGGCAAGTCTAAAATTGTTGTAAGTTTTATTATAGAACACCATTGTTGCAAAACAAAGACATTATTGAATTCATACTCAACAGCTATAAAATGACATTTTTTTTTCTGAGATGTCTCAAAGATTTCAGTGGTAGTTCAATTTGATATTCCCCATTTTGGTGTATTCCATAAACCTAAATTTTGGTGCAATCTAAAGAAACTCGTATAATGAGTTGTTTGTACTCACAATAGCCTTTAAGGTCTTATGAAATTAAGCCTACCTTTGCTTACAATGTCTATATTTCATTTGATGATACTCTAGCAGAAAAATCATTGAAGACATTTACCGCAAGAATATACTATGTATGAGGACATATTAGATAGAAGTGTTGAACGATATTGGAAAAATACAAAAACTCTTTTAGATTGACCAGTGTGAACTACATTCTTTCCAACCAAAAGTTAGTACCGGTGTCAATCATGTATATTTTTTATGAGACTCACATTAAAAATATAGATTTCTGAATTAGTTGGTTGATAAAGTTGATTACGGGCTAATATAATTTGTTAAATGAGAACTTACCATGAATAGGATTACAATTAGAAAAATCATTGACGCCATACATATGGTATTGAAAGAGAATTTGGCATGAATTGTTTAGTTAGTTGAAACGACTATGTATATCCTTTATTATTTACATTAATGGTTATACAATATTTAACATGACTACACATTCATCAAATAAAAGGTGATCACTAATCCAAGTTTATCAGAAGAAAAATGAATTGGGGGGGGGGGGGGGAAGAAGTGGACTTGACATGTCTAAAAAGTTGTTACCAAGGACAACTAAAAAGTTTTCCACATTAACATCATCGCTAGTGTAATACTTCTTCAAGAGACAACACGTGATACATGAGTAAAACAATGACGAAAAACATATACCTTAAGAACTTCTTTGTAAACATCCTCACCAGCTTGACTATTAAAGACAACTTGCTTGTGTTGGGGCTCTCTTCATTGTAAGCAATGTCATCACATGTGAAGACAATTAACATTTTCATCCTTGAGACCACCTTGTATCAAAAGCTGACATGTCACATATATAAGCCTGATACAAAAGTATAGATCGACAAGGCTCATCAAGTAATACATATGAAAAAAGAAAAAAATAATCAAAAAACTCCATAATAGTTAATCAATAAAAAAAAAAGAAAAATGTTGTCTTAGCAAATTTCTTACAAACTGATTTGATTTTAACTGGTTAGTTGTCTTAATTGATGGGTTTCACAAGCTTGGAAAGCTACCACTGAACTTATATATGGTAAAATCACAGTGCAGGAAAAATCACAGACATCATTGAATTCATCTATAGTTGGAAAATATAAAAAAATATACAAAAATGAACCAGATGCAACTAACCAAATACACATATTTAAGTTTCAAAATTACTAAAATGAACTCATGAACTAAAAAACTACAACTCTCCTAAAACTATTTATTATTAGTTTCCAGTAATTTATATACCACAAGAACTTTGATAATTAGTAGAACTCTAAAAATATGGAGAACTTCTATTTGACAAGGCAAAAGACAGTGACATGGCTTTTTAATGGTTTAGGACTTGAAGGAACATATCTTTAACAAAAATAAAAAATAAGGTATATAAGCTAACGTCAATAATTAAACAAGTGAACCAATAAAATAGTACACAGAAATATCAATAATGGCATAACATGATGAACATTGGGATGCCTTTGAAAGAAGAAAATAATCCTCTGTATCCTTGGGACAAATGAAACTTTTAACACCCTCAACATTAGTATCCATTTTATAGATTATTTGCAGGTGACTATCCACGTACGCCCACAAAATTTATCAACACAATTTTCAAAATATAATGAATTTGAAATAAACACCTACCACAAAATGATAAGACCGTATGTTAGTTGTCCCAGTGATGGTATATTGTAGGCCAAGTGCTTAGCAAAATAGACTCACGCGCTTTGAAGAATAGTCATACATTCAAAGCAACGTTCATGTAGTACAAAAAAGTAAGAGTGCCTTCAAGGTTTACGAGAATTATGATACTCAAACATGTTGCTTCATTCTTTTAAAATTAAAACCAAGTCAAACCAGTCCATTCATTGCTCATAATTAGAACTCGATTGATCAACTGAATCACTTTTTATCCATTCTAGTTCAACTTCAAGGCACTGTGAAGATTAATTTATATAAATATTTTTACCAAGCTTTAGACAAATATATGAGAACTATGTCACAACTACAGTGTTTTACAGTAGAATGAAATGTTGTACCCAAACAATGAATTTATAGAAATTAAATGTCCACATATCTTATTATCTTTTTCTAA